CCTCAAACTCTCCGCAAAGACACCCACGCAACCCGGAGGTGGACTTGTTATTCTCTCCCCGGGATAAGGAGCAAAAATTTTCACCGAAGGAGGGATCCGAACTTGTTCTCTCAGCATCACGACGTCGGCGTCGGTAAGGATACTTGGTTCGCCGATAAAATCGATCGCTGGGTCGGGCCACTTCCTCACCGGTCTTCTCCAATGAGGCACCACGAGGTCTGTTGCGTTGTGTTCCATTACCAAATCACCGTCCTCATCGTTTAACTTGATATTCAAATGTTTTACCAACGACGGGTCCCACCGGTGGTATTCAAAGGCCAACTCGACCAGTTCCGAATCGTGGTAAACATCCAACGGAACCGACTCAGTACTCGACGAACTTGCCACCGCCTTTCCCTTCCCTTTCGGCGCCATCGCACAATCGAACAGAACACAAAAGGAATAAAAGAAGTAATTGAAGAAAAAGCTTACCGAAAACGTCGCGCGCACACAGCAAGCAAGAAATAATCCTCAGAATTTCAGAAGAATGCAACAACCAGTATATAATATGAAAGCTCAAAAATGAAAGCAAAGGTGAAGAAAACCCGATCAGATATCGCTAAACCCTATTTATAATCGTCGATTTTATGACCGTTGAGTATCTTAATTGGGGGCGCGTCGAACCGACGCGACCCCTAATTCTAACCGACACCACCTCTTCGCCTGATAAGACACCTACCGTTACACGTGACAACCTATTAAAGTCGACCGTTGCCTCATTTAAGACCATTACGGCGCGACCGTTCAGTTTAAACATTAAATCGTTGACCGTTACGACTGTTCATCTCTCTTCTGTCACGACTGCCTGAAAATTGTTCGAAATTCACCAAGTGTCTTCACCTCGGAATACAGTCTACACTTCGGACAGATGACTCACTTCGGTTACATCGGTCAGGATACCGAAGATGACCCTACGAAGACAATAGACCACATCCTGCCACCGACTTCTTACCGATCCAGGGTCTCTAAATGTCTAGCATAGCAACATCGACGACCATCACTCCGTATGCCCACCGATGTTGGGGGCCTCTCTGTTATCATCTGAATCGGTAAAACTACATTAAGAGATTCCAAACATCACATTAAGAGGAGAACAACCATTGAACCGACGTGATTTTAACACCACCCCGGTTCAGGCGATGAACCAAACCGAATTACCGAAGACCGAGGTCGGTCAGCGTCTACCGAGGTCAACATAAACCGAGATCTTCGTCTCCTTAAGCAGGTGACAAGGTGCCTACGCACAACCATCCCACTCCACAAGATCCGTCATCATTTCTGTGGGACCCACTGCTCCAAACCGCCCACAAAAAGCTACTTTATTCAAAAAGTAGAACACAGATCCCAATGTATCTACCAAAGCTTACTATAAATAGTGAACTCATGACATTTGTACGGGGATCTCTCTCCGAACCGAAAGAACTTCATAAAACAACACGTAAAAGCCCATCACGGCTCTTCACCTCGGTTCACCTCGGACGGGGGCCATCGTTGAAGTTACTTTACATGCTTTACGTCCAAATCATTCATAATTCTCATCTTAATCACGTATTACATCGTTGTTAGAAATCGCATAACAACATTTTTATTTAACAAAAAAAAGAAAACACTAATATTAAATAACAACAACACTGCTAATATAGATTGAAATAACTTTAAAACATGACAACACTGCTAATATAGATTGAAATAACATTAAAACATGATAAATCACGGTTTAAAGAAAAATGTTGGAATAAGTAGTGCTGAAATGAAATACAACATAAATAAAAATACATCATAAACCTAAGAGCTAAAACACAAGGATAAATACTTAGTAATCTGACAAGTTGACACTGCTTCCTCCAAGATCGTTGAAAAATTGGCCAAATGCATTGGTTGGATATGGATCCGGTTGGGCTTGTTGAACTATTTTTTCCAAAATTCGTGCCTTTTCGGCTTCAATGTATGCTCGAACTCTAGGATCTTCAATTGAACTGACATCTTGAAACAGAATTTTATTTTCTTCCCTCATTTCAAGAATTTATATCTCAGTACAAAAAATTAGAAATAAAGATGATCACATTGCACTTCGGAATGAACTAATTCATCATTTGTGGGAAGAATTCACCAACTCCAAGACTTGAAAGACTATCTATTTTTACGTGATTGTTGTAATTTTCTATTTTATCTTGTGTGTTGTAATTTTTAAATTTTTATCTTATGCGTTCTAATTTCTAATTTTATCTTGTGCGTTGTAATTTTTTATTTTAACTTGTGTGTTGTAATTTTTAATTTTTAATCTTGTAAGTTGTAATTTTTAATTTTATTTGTGTGCTAAAATTTTATTTTTTAATGAATATTTATTTCTCAATTTTATTATGTATAATTAATTTTAATTACCTAAAGTCCATATTGAATTTAAAATAATAGTGTAATTTAATTTGTAAAGTTGTAAAATATGTGGGTAGTATTGAAAAGTTATAAAAGTTGGTGTAAAAAATAATATTCTGAGAATATTTTTTTGGGTTTGAGAATGAGTTTTTCGGTTTGAGATGAATTATTGCAAAATGGGATAATTACTGCAAAATGGATTTGAGTATGGATTTTTCGGTTGGAGATGGCCTTAGAGGAAGAAGAATAGTTTTTTGGCGTTTGTTCCCATGAAGAGTTGTTTGGCTTTTTTGCTTTGATAAATGTGTGCGCGTATTTTCTACAACGTTCTGGATTGGTAGTATTTATAAAAGAGTAGTTTAAGATGTGATTGGATATGGATTGAACTAGTTTTTTATTGGGTTTTTTTCACCATAGTTAATATTTTTAAAAAAATGGTCTGGTTAGTTGTTAGTAGATATTTAAGTTTAAATAAAATATTATTTAAAATAAAATAATTAAAGTTGATTTCATGTAAAGTAGGAAAAAAAATTATTCGAAGTGACAGTTAAAATTATGTGAGTATATGAATAGTGAATTAAAGTTGATGTGATCTGTAAAAATAATTGGTTGATATCATTTAATTATATTGATAATATTGGATATAGTGGGGTTGGGTTAAATTTGAGTTTTAATTATTATTTTTTTTTTGTTTTTTTTTTTTTGGTTCATTGTGTTGAGTTGATAAATAATCATCCCCTTAATCATTCACATAGGTCTATCATCATATAAAACAAAACTATAAAGTACAATAATTGATTTTTATTTTATAAATACACCATATATTTTAATATTATTTAATGTGTGATTCATGATTTGTTGTTAAAACTTCAAAATTATTTTCATACTTTTATTTTTTTACGCATGCGTCTAGTTAGATTATTAGAGTAACGTATTTCATGTTTGAACTCGTGCACATTTAATAAACGAGTTGTCATGACCCGACATGTTTAATGAACAAACAAAAATATGAACCCTAGTTGGATCGATTAAACTCGGTTCGACTCATTTAATAGACTTTTAAACCTAGGACAAACCTCAAAATAATAACCGAATCTACCGTGAACATATTCAACTCGACTTGTTTGATAGAAAAATCAATTATTTGTTTGACTTTAGCTTGTTTAAATATACAAGTGGCTCGAATTCGACTTTTCACATCACCAGTCGAATCAAACTATGTTAGCGGAAAAATTCAGTTTGAATAATAGCCGCACGTTATGCAGTCTAAGGTGAAAAAAAATTCTGGCTACACCATGTGTGTGCATATAGTGTTACTTTACAGATAAAACCAAATTTTTTAATATAATTTATAATTCATTATTTTTAAAATTGCTGACATAAATTATAACAAAAAGTACGACATAATTTATAACAAATACAACGGTATTCCAATTTTCGTATATATCGTATATGTATCATATCCATGTCATTGGTGTTTCATAGATACTATCATTAAGAGATGTTAAAAATAACAAAAACATAGTCATTAACCGAACCAATCCGACAAGCGGTTCAACTCGATTCGATTCAGTTCAGTTCGATTCGATATGTGATTTAGAAATCAACCGATTCCATTAGATTCAGTTCAATTCCACATGTGGATTTAAAAATTCCATGGGAGAACTTTGCCGCCCTTGTGGTCCTACCCGACTCAATTACGAATTAATCGGTTCCCTGTGGATCCGAAAACCGGAAGGT